CAGTCGTTATTATAACTCTAAAAATATTATTTCTTTCTCCTCCCCTACTTTGATATTGTCTGTATCTTCATATCATTAACCGTAAGACAAATAAGCCTCCAGCATCAACAAGAAATCAATAGAGATACCTGCAACACTTATAGGATAACACAGGAAACTGTTAATTACCTTGAGGAGGGAAATCTGAAGGTTAATTGTCTTTCCATTCTTGAGGAGATTCTGCAATTTTCTGCTATGTAGAATGTTATCCATATAGATCCAAAGCCTTTCGACAATGTCTTCCTTCAGTTCAAGTTTTTTCTTATAAAACGCAACCAACGACTGTCGTGCCCAATCAAGTAATACCTGAATTTGGAATATACTTTAAAAATAAACGAAAAACCAAATACAATTGCCAGGGGGGAAAAACTCTCCTTTAAAACTTATCTTTGGTAACATTATATTACATTTTGGTGTCTTAAAATATTTATTATTAAAGAAGCAATCAAAAAAACTAAGTGTGTCTCCATCTGGGGCCAATAAAAAGTTTCAAGAGAAACGGTTTCTTCTAACTAATTGCTTCCAAGTTTTACAAGTTAAAAGCACAACAACAATTGCTCAGAATGGCCACAAAAGGAATGACACACAAAAGCAAAAATGCAGAGTCAGAAGACCAGGGTTTGTGTCCTGGCTTCCCGAGTTAACTGCAGCTTCATCCCTAAACCTATTTACCCTGTTCAGAAGACAGTCTTCTATGAAATGATTCACAAGTGCTGTATTAAAAGGAGGGCTGGACATAAACAGTTTCCATTATTGTGACGTGTTTCCTTATTCATAAACACAAGGAAAAGTGGTGAGGCTTCAGCTCAGGACACCAGAACTGTCAATAACAACACGAATAGTGACAAACGCTAAAAGGAAAAAACTCTCTCTGGAGAAGGGTAGTGGAAACCTTGATGAAATGGCCTGCCACGGCTGCCAGGTCAAGCAGCCAAAATGATTCTCAGGTGCAGCCAGATTTAGAAACAACTAGCTCTGCTAGTGCTCTACATACTAGACCTCATCATTTCAATGGCTGTAATCCACCTGACACATTTTGTGCTGCTTAATACGAGCAAATGAGTAACTGCGTGAGCTCATCATCCCGGTCTCCATTGTATTAACTGCTTTTCTTAGTCAGATAAGCTTGAGAAATGTTAACAAAGAGCTATGTCTTTCTGGGTTCCTAATCTGTTTCTAATCTACCGGTTTCTAATCTATTTCCCCTCAGTTTACTACAAATGCTAAAGCTTCCCTACTTCCAGCCTTCGATTCATCAAGTTCCAAAGACGTTTAACAAAGCACCAACAAGAATTGCTTATGGAGCATCACTTAGGATTTACAAACAAATGAAGCTGCCAACAGACTCAGAACTTAACTTCTGTAACCTAAATCCTAATTTGCTCACTGATGCACATATTTAATTCAGAATATAAGAGATGTTTCCAAACATAAACGAAATGCTGAGGTTTTGTAACAGAAAAACTTTGTTAATGTAATACCTAACTACTTACTTTATCTCACTGATAGGACTTTTAACTTTCTAACCATGTTTCCTTTCCCAACCTTTAATCTTTTTAAATTTTAACTAAATGTCAATATGTAATTTACATAAGTGATCATTAGTTTAGGTTGTAGAAATGTAACTTTCACATTAAACTTACTTGTTCTTTATTTGGAAGAACACACTGATGGGAAATCCACGCAAAGTGCGCTAGTTTTAGTTTATCTTCCCAGGAAGTAGTCTTGCTTTTAAGTTTTAGAGAAATGCCAGAATAAACAGCAGCCATTGCTGTGCTTTACCTACAATTTAAAGCAATGGAAAAAATTTATATTTTTTTAATATAAAGGACCAGAATATTAAGGTCAAACTTAATAGGCAGCAGAAAATGAACACTATGTAACTTATTGTCTACATAACTTATACTCCTTTAAAAATATTTTTCTAATGAATTAAACACTGTTGGGCAGAAGTTTATACATAAGATGCTTGAGTCCATGAGTTTCTTGGAGGAAATTCAAACAGACGATGGATTACACACACACATACAAGTATTCCTGCTGTGATCAAACATCACATCCTCAGAGGTCAGTGCGCAGGAATTCAATGGAACAAAACCCAAAGTGTTCAAATTACTTGTGAAAAGATTCGTTCACACATGGCTTTAGACTGAAAGAGTTGTTTCTGCAAAAATATTCTAATACATACTATAGAGTATATATTAGGACCCACCCCACTGAACAGTTTAAAAAGATAAATAGGGCTTCCCTGGTGGCGCAGTGGTTCAGAATCTGCCAGCTAATGCAGGGGACACGGGTTCGAGCCCTGGTCTGGGAGGATCCCACATGCCGCGGAGCAACTAGGCCTGTGAGCCACAACTACTGAGCCTGCGCATCTGGAGCCTGTGCTCCGCAACAAAAGAGGCCGCGATAGTGAGAGGCCCGCGCACCACGATGAAGAGTGGCCCCCGCCTGCCACTAGAGAAAGCCCTTGCACAGAAACGAAGACCCAACACAGCAAAAATTAATTAATTAATTAATAAACTCCTACCCCCAACATCATCTTTAAAAAAAAAGATAAATAAGCAGTATTTGGAAATAGTAATATTTCTCCAAGTACAAAAGAAATATAGTACAAACCCAGTCCCAACAGATAGAATGTTTTTTCAGCTGCAACAGTAACTTCATAAACTTACCAACACACACTGCTTCTAAGACTCTACAGAATATAGTTACACGATTAACGCTGGAAGGATACAATTATGAATAAAGAAGGAGCACAAACATACCAACAACCTATAATCCTATAAAACTGAGGTAAATGTAGCTTAGAGTTTCCTAAAAGCCATAGTAAAAAGGGGAGAACATATCAGGTTAAGTCATTTTCATTACATAAAAGTAAACAAGTCAGTTCCTCAAGGGAGAAAGTTTTTCATGATACTTAATACTGAAATAAAATTATCGTAAATAACAACAAAATAGGGCCAATGAAATACCGAGAAAAGATCGCAGCCCCGTGATTCCAATTTAAATACTGTCAAACCAAAACAATTTGCTATCCTGAGAACTGAATCGCTGGATTTTTAAAATCTAAGGGATCTGAAATCCTACAGACCTACCTTCAGAGCTAATTCTCAATAGGGATCTTTACAGGGAATGAGCGAACGTCGGATGAAAGACAGTTAGGTTCAGCACGGTACCCTTCACTATTACAAGAGGCCAGAACAGTCAAATGCTGTCAGTCTTCCTCTTTGTCGAAACGTCCAATATCCATTCAACAGCTACTAATTTAACTTCTAAATTCAATGTTACACAGCCATCGCGACAGCTACAAAGTACTTTAAAAGTATCTGCAGAACTGGCTACAAAGACGCCCCATACACCCTCCCGGATCTGTCAACCTTGGGCCCTTGGTGCCCGCAAAGATCCCTGCGAGCGGGCGTGGAAAGCCCGGTGCGGACCGCAAAGCCGCGTCCGTCCTCGCGCGGCCACGCTAAACCCTGCGGAACAGAAGGAAGCGAGCAGCCAGGAGCGAGGCGAGGGGCCGCCGGAGGAGCAAGCCAGCGTGGGAGGGCCATGCCCAGGTAGGGAGCTCACCTGGAGGGACCTGGTCACCTGGGAGGGACCGCGGGCGGGGTGGAGGGCCGGCTGGAAGGGGGCTCACCTGCAGGCCGCCCCCAGGTGAGGAACTCACGCAGACCCCGCCCGTGAGGGGCGGCGGGCGGGGCGGAGGGCACTCACCGGGTGAGGAGCTCTCCCGGCGGCCAGCCCCGGATGGGGACCGCGCGGGGACGAACGGCCGCAGCAGCGGCGGGACCGACTCCGGGGCCACCACGTGGTGGATCGCGCTCCTTCCTCCGGACTCCGGCTGCGCTGGGAGCTGCGGGGCGGTGCTGGACCAGGCGGAAGGAACGTGGGGCGGGACGGCTCGCACGCCAGGCATCGCCAGCCGAGCGCCGAGGCGCCGCGCCCATTGGCGGAGACGGCCGCGCGTCGAGGCCCGAGCGGCCCGGCCCAGCCCGCGGCGGCTCCGCGTCAATCAGTCATGGGGCTGCAGCCCAGAGCCGCCGCGGGGGCGGCGGGGCACTGGGCGCGGGGGCCCGGCTGAGCCGGCCGCGGAGCGCGAGCCTGCCGCGGAGACGACGGAGGCGGACGCGGGGCGACCCCGGCGGCGGCGGGGGGAGCGGGAGCCGCCTGGGATGTTCAGTGAGTGCGGGCGGTGGGCCGAGGGCGCGGGCGGCAGCGCAGGCGGCAGCGCGGCCTGGGCGGTGGGGGCGGGGCGAGCGGGCGGCACCGCCTGGAGGCCCGGAGCGCGGGCCCGGCCTCTTCTTCATTTACGGGAGAGGGAAGTGTCTGTGGGCCGAAGTCGGGATGAAACTTGGCGCAGGGTGGCGAGGAGGACGCGGGCGAGCGCGGCGATGCCCACCTGCAAGGGCGCCCGCAAGGCGGCCGCGCCCCTGACAGCCGCGTACGGGGTGCGCGCCGCGGAGCCCCGAGGCCCTGAGCGCCCGGGCGCGACGTGGGCGGGGGAGCCGAGGGTGAGGGACCGGGTGTCCTAGGAGGCTCAGCGGAAGTGCTGCCTTCCCGACAGCGGTGAGAGCGCCCTGGGCTCGTGCCCCTCGGCGGCAGGCTGGAAGCGCTGATCTCTGACTTTGCAGGTGGAGGTCTAGGAAGGGAGACCCGACTGGCAGGAATCGGGGCTGCGCTGGGAGGGGCGCGCGGGCGGGGGCCGTCTACTCTTAGGTGACCTAGCGCTGCGGGGTAGGGCGGACACGGTGGCTGCCCCGGTCTGGGTCCCCGCTCTGCTTGAGGGTGGGAGTAGGAAGAGGAGTTTGGAGCCATAGCTTTACACTCGGAGAAGCTTCTGCAGCGGAGGGGGCTTGGTGACTACATCGGCCTCAGGTCGAAACCATGTAACTACTATCTGTAACCTCTCGGAGCCTTCGTTTCCTCTTCAGTAAAATGAGGTAATGACTGATAAACTGGACCTTTTAAAGGATACCCAAAAAAGGATTAATGAATGTGAAAACGCCTGACAAGTGGGAAGTGTTCTGTAAATACTAGTTATCAGCTATTACAATTTCTTTTTTTGGCAGAGAATACTTTCTAGGTTCCTCGTAGGCCTAAAGTTTTTGCGTTAAATGTAATTTTGATTTTTGTCAATTATAAATCATTCCTGCCTTAAAAATCAGTGTTAAATTGGCAAACCAAAAAGTGGGCTTGCCTTGACCATTTTTTTGGTTTGTTTTTTGTTATCAACAGTAAAGCAGATTTGTGTGTTTTGGAATAGTTTTGTTGCTTCTCCCTCTGAATGTGTGAAATTTGTTTGGTTCTATCACTGTGGAACTAGGTAAAGGCTCCTCTTAACTATTCAGTCACTGGTTTTTTGGTTTTACTTTCGCAAACAGATGTCCTTCATAATACCTATGAAGGACATCTCTGGAGAAAGGGCTGTTGTTTGTTTGTTTTGTTTATTTGATGATTCGTTTTAGCTGGAAGGGAGCCCCGGGGGCGCTCTGGTAAACCAGCATTACCCAGTGGACCGTGCTAGAAACCGTTTCTAGCCTCTCCATGTGACAGCCAGCCAGCTTCTCAGGTAGTAACTGTTGTGATCAATCTCTCAACAAGCATTTGGTAAGCTTTCACTGTTGTGTTTCCCGAGAGAAGCCTTTGAGCAGCAAGACAGTGTAAAAGGTAAGAGCTCAGACCATGCAGCCAGGTGGCCCAAGTTCCCCTCCTGGCACCGTGGACCCTTGGGCACCTGTCTGACTTCTTTAAGCCTCAGCTTTCTTATCTGAAGAATGCTCCCTAGCTTATAGGGTTCTGGGGAGGCGTAAACGAGATAGTCTACGTAAAGGACTTAAAATAGTATCTTACCTGTGATGTACACTCAGTAAGTGCCAGGTATTAGTAGTGGCGGTGTAGGAAACAAATAGTATGGTGATTCCTGTGATAGAGGTTTGTTCCTGGGTTTGGTGGGTGGAAGGAATCAGGCTCAAGGAAGCTTTGGGGAAGAAGTGGCCAAGCTAGGCTGTGAAGCATGAGTGGGAGTTAGCTAAACCAGCTAGGAGTGCCATTTGGGGTGTTCCTACAGTTAATGGAGGAGCCTTGACCAAAACCCCTAAGGCGAGAAGGCCTTGTGGTACCCACCTGTTTTGTAAACAAAGGCAGATAAGAGTAACCTCAAGGTGACACAGTGGAGACGATTTTTTTATCCTCCACACTGGTGAAGGAAGGAGAAAGTTTTTAAGCTGAGCGCAGATGGCATCAGATTAGCTGTTTGGAAAGATTGTGCCTGTAGTGGTGTGGGATTAAAAGTAGGGAAGGCCCAGCCACTTGTCCTGGCAGCTTTGTGTCTGCCTGTGACTCCAAAAGGAAAATGACTGCTTAGCAGGGGCAGGCATTTGAATCCAAATCTGGAAGCCTAAAGAGCGCTCTGAGAAGGCATGAAGAAACCAGATCATTCCAGGCAACCTTCTCTCTTAAAAAGCATCTTCAAGGATGTACTGTATATGCCTGACTACAAGGCAGGATTCCCCCCAAAGTATCCCTCTGAAAAGAGGGTGGTACCACATGTTTAAGTCTCTCCTGTTACAGGCACTGTAATTACTCTTTCCAACAACAAGATGCCATTTGGGAAATACATATTGGACTGAAACAATCTCAGTCATTGCTAGTTCGGGATATTTATACCACCAATGTATCAACAGTAAGTGATAAATTTAAAAAGTTCTGCCACCTGAATGGGTATTGATGGCTTGCGTTGAGATTTCCAGCGAGAGCATCAAGTGCTGTATCATAGATGATTTGGTAGGAGCGAAGATGGTGTGTTCTGGAAAATGGAATTTGATGATTCAGAGTGGCTTCAGTGACTACAGAGACGCTGGTGTTGAAGATGTAAGTGAATAGTTGGCGTAAAATTGTTTCATGAATTAATGTGTTGCCTTCTATATTTTAAAATACATGGAAGTTAATAAATTAAAGATTATAAGCAGACATTTGACTAATTGATCTACAGTCCTAAAGGTTTTTTTTCTAGTTTAAGTTAGCCAGAAATTTTTCTTTTTTAATTTTCTCATTGCAGGGGTAAAGTTGTCTTAGGTTCGAGCTTGCCTTTTATGTGAACGTTTTACAGAAAGTAACTGCTGCTCTGTTTGTCTACTGAAACAAATTCCTTTTTCCCGTCTCATTTTTTAACTTTAAGAAGGTTTCAAGAATGTTGTGTACTGGCAAGTTTTAGAAAACACTGTAGAAAACTCCCGTTCATAAATCTTTGTTTAGCAGTCAAATAAGATATCTTTCTGGTAAGATGTATGTAAATGTATATGTATCTTAGTAACCTTAGAGTGTTTGATAGTAATAAAAAGGTAGCTCCATTTTTACTAAGAAAATACTAATTTTTGGAGATTTGGCAATTTAGGAATCAGAAGTGTTTTGCAAGACTTTGTGCATTGCCATTTTTAAGTCAAGGCACTGCTGCTTTAGTTTCACAAAGTAATGCCATGCTCTGGAACTGTGTTGTCCAATACAGAAAGCACGGGCCATGTGTGGTTGCTTACATTTAACTTAATGAAAATTAAAAATTCAATTCTTCAGCTGCGTTAGCCACATTTTAATTGCTAGATAGCCCTTTGTGGCTGGTGGCTACCACACTGAACAGTGCAGACCTAGAACATTTCCTTCATTGCAGGAAGTCCTATGGGCAGTACTACTCTAGAATAAAAAGTGATCCGGCTGCTCTGTGAGACACACACACATAAAGGATTCAGTGTCATTAAAGCATCTCCAAAACCTCACTTGCTGCATTTGAATTCCATTTCAGGGAGAATGATAAACATAGAAAACCATATCCCCCTTATTCTGAGAGCACAGCATCCTGTTTCTTCTGTCTACAGTGGTTGTAAATGGAGCCCACGTGAAAGGTATTCTTTATGACGTAAGACACGGTAAATGTAGGTAGCCGTTCTATAAATTGTGCCATACTCTTCCATGTTAACAAGGTTTTGTATAGAAATAATTTTTCTGAGCCCTAAAATAGTTTTGAAGTAAGCATCAAATATTTGTGGCTTTCTTGGTTCATAAAAATCCAGAGAAATCATGTGCCTAAAGTAAACCGTCAAGAATTCCAAGCAGAAGCTAGATGACACTCACTTTACTTTTAATGTGGATTTCCAAGATAAAAGCCCTGTTCTAGGGAACTCTCCATCTGGTGGGGGGACCTAGAGAACAGTGATGGCAGGAGTGGGCAGTCTGCATGGGGTGCAGAGGATGATTTTAAGCATGGGAGTAGCATAGTCAGTCTTTCTGTCTGGCTGCATTCAAAAGGGTGTTTGAGGTTGGCCTAGAGTAGTAGGAGGACATTGGAATAGTCCAGGTGAGAAGTGATTTGCGCTGTCAGATCGCAGCAGTGAGGATATGGTAGCACAATGGCTCCAAGAGAGTCCTGTTTAGAATAAAGAGTCGATGGCCATTTAGAAGTGAGGGGAAGAGAGATAGAGAAAAGCATCTTAAGATGACAGTTTTCATTTGATTGGTTGGTTTTGGTTGTGGTTTTCTCTGTTGGTGGATGGTGGCACCATTAAGCTGTCTGGGAAAACTAGGAAAAGGAAGACGTATGGAAGGAAGAGAATTTGAGCACATCAAATTTCAGATGTTTGCAGCATCCAGGTAGAGAAGTCTTGTAGACTTGAGCTCAGGAAGGTGCTCTGACTAGAGACTGCAGGAGTCTTGTGTCAGTAGGGAATGTGAAGGGTGGAAGAGGGGAGCCAGAGACCTGCCTGCAGGGGAGGAGGCGTGTTCAGCAGCTTAGAAGCCATGTAAATAGTGGGGAAAAGTGACAGATTTGACAAGAGTTGAGGAATCTCATGTCTTAGTAAATAGCCCGCTGACATAGGAAGCAGGGTCGGCTGGCTGAGTAAGGAGACTGGAGCAGATTTGGGGGTGGCTGCAGGTAGGAAGCTGCAGGGAAAGGAAGTAGTTGACAAGGAAAGACTTCAGGGACTTTATGGAGGTCCCAGCTGATGTTAGTCAAGTTCTAGGGGCATCTGTCTGCCTGGCTGTATGATTTCTGCTCCACCCCCAACCCTCCTACCCAAATTAAACCCCCAGATTCTACATTGCATCCTGAGCCCGCAGCTGTGAGCCTTGTTCGTGTGCCATTTACTTCTTAGGACTCCATGGGGAAAGAGCACAGGTTTTAGTTCAAGTGTATTCATGTTACGTCTGTGTCTGAGCAAAGCCTGAATATGAAAGGCCAACCTAATTTAAAAATTATATCATGTATGACTGAAACCGAGCTCATTTATTTTTCAGCTGCGTTTTTATTTTCACAAGCATTTTATCACAATGATTAATGCAAAAGCTTATTAGGTTTGTAGGTGCTACTAAGAGTGACCTTTTGATGGATTTTATAAGCACTTAGAATACTGCAAGGAAAGAGAAGAGAGCTGATATATGAGCACCTACTAGGCACTTTACATGACCTCTCAGTTAAGAAAAAATACAAAATAATTTTTATCTGTTTTTAAGCATAAATTTATAATTGGAAAAAAAATACACTTACTTTAAAAAACAACAACAACAGAAACACCTAGCTACTGTCCGTATACTCAGTTGGGGAACTGATTTGAGGATAGTGGTGGTGAGTTTGCCTGGATTTGTTTTGAACTCATTCATCCTCAAAGCTGACACCTTATATCTGAGGGGCAGGGGGAGACACACTGTTCATATAGTACTCTATTGGCATCTCATGGAATTGTGTAGTGCTTAGCCCATGAAGTGCTGGGCTGGGGGTGTCTCTCCGAGCAACCCTCCACCAACCATACACATTTGAACATAAGTGGGTGGGGTTAGGCTGCAGCAAAGAGTATTAAGAGAGTGGTTCTTCCTGCACAGTTGTTACTTTAAGGCAGGAAGGTGATCATGTCCTCATTTTCTGTAGCAACTTTGGTAACAGTAGGCAACTATTAATGCATGAGAAATAGATACATATTGTGTCGGAATCCTCATGTTAATTTCCAGAAATCCTAATAATGTGACATGAAAAGAAAGGTATGTGATCATCTATTTTTAACTTTAAAGTTAAAATATTTTCTGTCAATTGAAAATTAAGGGAAACCCTGAAATTTTTAACAAAGATGTAATTAGATTGAAACTCAATTTAAATTTAAAAGATTTTATAATTATGGGAAAAGATAAACAGGTAACTTGGAATTGCAGTGTTAGTCTCATGTCTGAGTCTCTCAAAAGACAGGTCTGTTTTTAAGAAGGTTTGTAGGGGTTTTCCCCATTTCATTTATTATTTACTTCACTTGAAATATGTGTGCCCTGGAATCAAGTCCAGGGCAGTCAGTTGGATAATGTCCCTGGTATTTCAGTTGAGTGTGGCTATAAAAGAGACTAATGCCCGCGTTCCTCCTCCCCAGACTCTTGGCCCTGCAGCTGGCTCACAGCCCACCCTCAGGGAAGGTCCTTGTCCTACATGGTGGTTTGGAGCCAGAAACAGCTAATTTGGGCAAATTCATTAGCATCAGTATTTACCAGCTAGTTTCTAGTAATCCCCAATATGGCCCGTTTTTTACTATTGTTCATTCTCATCGCTTTCTGTTCGCTCTCTCTTTTCCCCTCCTCTTCAGATATGCATATACATTGTCCCACCTTGGGGACACTTGGCATTGCAGGGTCTGCTGTGTCAGTTTTCCCATGTCTTTTCCTGTGCACATTTTTTTTTCCTGTTAGAGAGATGACCTCTTACTCTCATCTTACCTGAAACACTAAGGGACACAAGCATGCACTCCCATGGCAACAAGAGATCGGCAGTAGGAAGTCTGGAAAAGTTTTAGTCCCAGCCAAAATACAAGGCATCAGGCTGCTTTGGAAGAGCTTGGAGACTAAGAACTCTTGAAGTTAGATTGAAAGCATCTTTAGCAAGCGGCGTAGGGTCGTGTGGTGGCGGGGCCGGGGGTGGGAGCCTGGTGGATTGACTGCTTCTGACTTGGGTCCAAACTGGCAAAGGGTAGTACTCTCACAGTCTCTGTGTGCACTTAAATTTTTTTCTCTAAATATTACATTGAATCAGAATCTCCAAGGCTGAAATTATTTATACACACACTCGCAGGAGATTCTTATGTGTAACCAGGTTAGAAAACCATAGAGAATCACTGAAATAGTCAGACTGGTACAGGAATGCTTATTAGTAACCACAAAGAAACAATTATCTGTCTTCATCAATGGACAGGTGAATACTTAGAGCAGTGATCCCCACTCTCAAAGTCTCAGAATTCTTGTATGAGCAATAGAAAAAAAATCTTAATTAAAAAATAATCTGGGGACTTCTCTGGTGGTGCAGTGGCTAAGAATCCACCTGCCAGTGCAGGGGACACGGGTTCAAGCCCTGGTCCGGGAAGATCCCACATGCTGCAGAGCAACTAAGCCCACGTGCCACAACTACTGAGCCTGCACTCTAGAGCCCGCGAGCCACAACTACTGAGCCCACGTGCCACGACTACTGAAGCCTGCGCGCCTAGAGCCCGTGCTCCGCAACAAGAGAAGCCACCACAATGAAAAGCCCGCCTGCCTCAACGAAGAGTAGCCCCCGCTTGCCGCAACTAGAGAAAGCCCGTGCACAGCAGTGAAGACCCAACGCAGCCAAAAATTAAAAAAAAAAAAAAATCTGAGTTGTCATACAGTGAAAGACTAACACACCATAACCAAGTGAGGCAAATTCCATAGTGAAAGGTGGTTCAGTTTGAGGAAATTTGTTACTGTTTCACTGTATCACTGAATCTCAATCATTTCAGACCCAGTGCCCCTCCTTTCTAACAAATATTTGATACTGTCTCTGGTAATCCAGAAATGAAATGCATAGCTAATATAATCATTCTTTATACCTGGTTTAAAATAATATATTTATGATGTCTTAACATTTTATATTTGTATATAAATATATGTGGTTTTGTGTGTGCATGTCTCCAGCCTTCACTGTTTGCTCTGTTGTGTGACTTAGGCAATTGAAAAGTTGATCTTCAGATTGTGTTTTAAAAGAGTTACCATGAATCAGTTTGGAAGGATTATTTATTTGCAGATGGTTTTGGAACAACTTGTTTGCCGCAGTATCTGGGTAAAATAGTTGTTTGGTTATTCACCACATATTGTACACTGAAAGAAATTGCAATGGATAAACATTAGATACAGATAAACTTTTTTTAATATTTAAAGAAAAAATAAATAACAGGTTTTTGGAATGGGGGGAATTTTAAATCTTAAAAACATGGAGGAAATCACAAAGGAGAAGGCCAGTGCATGTAATTGAAACTGAAAATTTAAACACATCCAGATAAACTATCAAAAACACATCTTCCACACACAAAAAAATTAGAAGTCCTTGATTTAGAGAAAGTTACCCTGGTGGGGACCATCACATGTGTATGGATAATGTTGCATGCATTCCAAAATGGACACGATATTCTGATCCTGAAGAAGAAAATATTTTTTACATCACAGAAGTGAACCTAGAAAATTCATTCAGCTGTCACTGGTCATCTGGACTGCAGTATTCTTTACTCCAGGCAAAGGAGTATTTGAGGCCCATGGCAGTCAGGGGTTCCTTTCATTCTTGATAATAAATTTAGCAGTCAAGGAAAATAGTCCTTTTGGAGGGAAAACCACCAACTTAGCTTGAATTATCAGAAGTTATTTACCCCTGTTGAGTGCATTTCCTTCCATATAAGAATTCATGAGACATTTTCTAACACATATACATACCCTCTTACAATGTTGATGCTTTTCTGTACCTGGCGTTACAAATAAATGTGAAAGAGGTAAACAGTATGATTGACATGAAAACACACTGCTCAAATCCTTGACTCAGCGCCAGCAGCCTTTTCCTGACTGCTAAGAGAAAACATAGCTCTCCCTTTCCCCATTATTAACTTCTCACTTTCTAACATCTCTTTACCTGGTTTCTGAATGTCTCAGGGCTCTGATTTCGTGCTGCCCCCTGCCTGCTTTCTGGCTGGCTCCCTGCTCCCTGAACCCCTCTCCCTGAGCGAGGGGCGGCCGGTAACACAGGGCCCTGGAATTCCTCGGAGCGGATTGAAATCGTGGTCCTAAATGGAGTTTGCCGGGGATCTGGAGCTTTTTTTGGGGGGGGCGCACCTTGCAACGCGTAGGCATGTGAGATCTTAGTTCCCCAACCAGGGATCGACCCCATGTCCTCTACAGTGGAAGCGCGGAGTGTTAACACTGGACCGCCAGGGAAGTCCCGTGGGGCTTTATTATCTAGGCTATTCCCGTTTTCCATCATTGAAGTTGGCCGTGTTTTCATCGGGACAATACATAAAGTGGAAGAGGGGGTGAGGTTGGTCTTAAGGCTCTCAAGTCAGCCAGGAGACTGGCCGCGTGGCCTCTCCCCGCGCGTGACGTCAGGCTGTCCCTATGGTTCCCCCTCAGGTCATGAAACGGGTGCGCACCGAGCAGATTCAGATGGCCGTGTCCTGCTACCTCAAACGCCGGCAGTACGGGGACGCGGACGGCCCACTGAAGCAAGGCCTGCGGCTGTCGCAGAGCGCCGAGGAGATGGCCACCAGCCTCGCAGGTACCACCCACCCCCGTCCCGGAGGCAGCGTCCAGCCCAAATGCCTCTCTGAAAACCCCCTGCCCAACACGTCCTCCTTTAGGATCCCGGGGGCTTTGAGCTGTACCTGATGTCGTGTGCGACTTTCTCCTTCCGTGAGCTAGGGCCAGGGTCTCTGTCCCCCTCTTGCACGTGTCCCCTCCCCTGTCGCTTGGGCCTCACCCATGGAAGGCATGTTCTCCAGGTGGATGAGTCCTTTGGGATCAGTGGGTGGAAATGTTGGCATCATACACGTGTTCCTGAGACTTTTAACATTTCTTTTTGCTTCTGCTGTTTGTTTTGAAATTGGATTTGGATTCTTTTTTAGAAAAACTTTGGAAAAATTTTTCCTGCTGTGCTGTCAGGGTGGTTATGAGCGTCTTTAAATGGCCAGGTGTGGGGAGCTTAAGGTGGCAGTGCCTTCTCCAGCTCAGCCCAGCTCCTCAGGGGAAGCCTCCTTCCCTTCAGTGTCAGACCCACTCACTCTCCCTCGCCTTCAGACTCTGCTGGGTTCCCCTGACAAGGACAGGGCCAGGCGATGAACTCGGAATCGATTCATGAGAGCCTTAATGTTTCTAGTAGGATGGCCAGTGTACAGGACCAGAGTAATTCCTTCTAAACTCGCCGTCACGGCCTTTGATAAGCTCCCGCTGGCCTGTGTTCATTGGAGCCTGTGCTGTTGCTGATAGACAGTAGGGCAGCACTGTTAAATTTGTGTTCTCAGTTGTCTTCTTTTCGATACGATGGCGTATTAGGAGAGTCAGTGTTCCTGGAAAACCACCAGGAAAAGCGGGAAGCTTCTAAAGTGTGATTATTGTAAGATTTTGTCCTAGGTTTTTCTGTTGATTGAGTAATCGGAATACTTACATCTGCATTCAGCAGATGGTCGTGAAGGTCTGCTGGTGGCCAGGTGCTGAGAAGTTCTCGAGAGAGCTAAGACTCGACCCTGGCTCCCGAGGAGCTCTGTTACAGTCAGCTGAGGCAGGCGGATGAGCTCATGCGGGCGGCGTGACGTGGTCCCGTGAGGGCTGCTCAGCCTCCATACGAGCAAAGAAGGTGGTGCTCTCAGGTCGGCCGGCAGGTCACAAGGGCTTCCCAGAAGGTCTCATGGTTCCCAGCATATAGTCAGGGGTCAGTAAATCGTAGAAGGCATAAGCTGAGTTTCCAGAGAACCGTTAGGAGCTTATCGAGGGGCAAAGCTGGGGGCGGGTGTCCAGGTTATCAGATGTGGGTCTTAGGAGGATGGCTGTGGTGGCAGTGTTGACGGGGGAAGGCCCGGATTGGCGCCAGGGGAGCTAGTCAGAAGGCTGCAGCGTGATCCAGTGAGAGGTGAGGACAGCCTGAGAAAGGGTGGTCATCGGAATGGCAAGGGGAGGATGCCTTTGAGGGCTTGTGACTGTAGGACTTGAGACTGGTTCCCTCACGGCGGGGCAGCAGGAGGGCCCGCAGCCTTCCAGCGTGTGTCCGAGTTCCCGGAGGGGCTCTGACTCTCTTCCCATCTGTCTCCCCGCCTCGATGCTCTCCGTCGTGTCTCCTCGGCCCTGCTGCATTAATTACATTCCTGCTTCCTCCTTCCCACGTGCGTCCCACGCACGTCGGTGTTCGTCCAGATTGTTGTTGAAGATGGCTCGTCAGTCCCCCGCCGCCTCTCCCCAGTTGTGAGGTCCCCCACCCCACCCCCAGCAGAAAGGGTAGGAGAATTTTGCTTTTCTTGTTAGAAAGCATGAACTCACAGAATGGCGATGAAGTGCATGTTTACATCCTGAGTATTGAGACTCCAGCCTCCTTCCTCCTCTCGCTGCCGAGAACACTGCCATCCAGGCACCTGCTGTCCAGGAAGGTGATTAAAAGCCTCGTCCCTGGTGAATCTGTCCTGCCCAACAGAATGGACCTAAAGACATCGCCAGCAGGGAATTGCCCATCCAGGTCCTCTTGGGTGATAAGCGCACGCCCAGAGTTCTCATCAGCTCTGTGGTGCCTCACTTTCAGATAACTAGGGACTGTCAGATCCTGGAAGAAACTGATCTGCTTCATATGAAAAATGGAAGGAAACAGTGAGAAGCAACTTGAAGGAAGCAAACAGCAGAGAGAAAAAAAAACTTCAAAACTACCATCATTGATAGCCTTGAAACAAGAAGAGACTGCTATTTTAAGAGAAGAAAACATTCAGATAAATACATGACAGTGAAACTGAAAAATCATTCGAAGGGTTGAAAGTTGAGGAAGCCTCCCAGAAAGTAGAGCAGAAAGGCAAAAAATGGAAAATCTGGGAGACATTAAAGGGTCAGTTCAGGAGACCTACCTCGAAATTGTAGGCGTCCCAGAAAGAGAACACAGGAGAGGAAGCAACAAAATGATTCAAGAAAATTTCTCAGAACTGAAAGACGTGAATTTCCAGATTGAAAGGGCCCACTGAATGCCCAGCACGGGGGTTGAAGATGAACCCATCCCAAGGCACACGATGGTACAGTGTCAGGTCCTGGGGTCAGATGCGTCCAGAGGAGTCTCTCGTGAGCCTGTGTGCCTCTCCTCTCTCGTCCAGCTCGCGTACCCTGTGCTTTATACCTGTCGTTCCTCTGCTGTCACGTCACTGGGTGTCAGGAGCGGGTGGGGTAGGCATGTCGGTCACATTTAACCAGAAGCCCCAACGTACTTTGAAAACGGGCTGAGATGTCAGATGCTACAGCTGCGCCTCCTTCCATCCATCCTGCCACGTTTTGGGCTGGCGATTGTCTTTGCCGTCCCCATCTTATGTATCTTTTCCTCCTTAGTCCAATCAGAATCTGGTTGTGCCAACATAGTGTCTGCGGCCCCTTGCCAGTCAGAGCCCCAGCAATATGAAGTGCAGTTCGGACGGCTGCGGAATTTCCTCACCGGTAAGTACTCCACACGACCCCCTTCTCTTGTTAAAAAAGGGTGCTGCGAATTTCCCTCAGAACCATCTGTGTTCCAGCTCTGGTGTTAGGTACCAGGGATTCAAAGGTGATTGAACACAGGCCTTGCATTCACAATTATGGTCTATTGGAACTCCCAAGAGAGTCAAATCAGGAGATTAAAGTGTGCAAGGGCAGAGCTCTGGGTGCATTACTCACTGTTTTGTCCATGGCCTTCAACACAGTGACTGTGACTTGTGTTGCATAAGTAGAAGCTCAGTCAGCCATGTAGGGAAACCTCCTTAAATGCAGCAGGTGTGAAATGGACGTTGATATCACTACCAGTGATACAGTACATCTCAAAATGGTTTTTTTCCCCTTATTTCCAAAAATGCAAGACAGTAATCCTCATGAATCAGCAACACCAAAAAATTAGAAGTTGTAATTTAGTCCAGTTTGTGGGTGCTGTGATAACCACAGACACACTGAATCAGTAGATATGAGTTCTAATGAGTTTTTCTAATTCACTCTATGACTTTTTAAATTAATCACTCTAAAAAATGTAGTCATGTAGCCTTTCTGGGGCCTTTAGTTCCTCGTATGTAAAGTGAAGAAGGCTGTTCAGAGGCAAAACCAAGTGATTTCGTCTAGTCCTAAGGTGACTGATGGTAATTTTAACGTTGGAAAGATCATTACACTAAGCGAGGCCATGTTGATTCTGGTTATTAATCAAAGTCTTTTGTTGAGTACTTGATACAAAACACCTTGAGGCACAAGAAATACAAAACTTTCTCTGTCCTCCAAGGATGGAGAGTAATTAGCATGTATTGGTTAGTAGAAAATTATAGTTAAAATACTTTGAAGTTGTTTTATTTTTTTTTTCTTATTTGAACAACCCTCAGGTTAATAATTTTTAATGGTAAAGGGGCATAGTAAGTGATCAATATATAAACCAAAATAATAGACCTAATTTTGCACACTTAGAGTTGTCCTAATTTTACTTCACCCTTATAATGGTTAGTATTTTAAAGGAAAGAATCCACATTTCCTGTATTCCGTAGTCGGGCAAAATGACCAAAATGTTACAGGAAATAAAGATTACAAAATAAAACCCTAAAGAGGGTCATCTTATCAGTCTCACAGTTGTTGACTGATGGGATTCATTCTGTTGAATTGTTACAAAGATGAAAAAATTGCGAAGACTAAGGGTCTAATAAAAAGTCTATTATGTTTAAACTGGAAAGAAAGAAACTCCATTAAGATCCTCACATCATATAAATGTTAAATGTCTCAGAACAGTGATCAGCTGCTTTCCATGTCCACTAAAGATAGAAAAAGAAAAATTGGATTTATAAGAAGGATTTCATTCAGAGGTAAGCAAGAACTTGGAGATAATCAAGTTATTTTTCATTATTGGCATTGGTTTTTGAGGCTTTGAGCAATTTTTAAATTTTTTTAAATCAGTTTTTAGAAAGTTATTTTACTCGTTTTTTTAAATACGGTTATGATTTCTCCCTGAGAGACTTCTCTCATCAACCTAGTGGTGAGGAAGCTGGTTTAGAAAGAAGTGCCTGGCATCTTTCAGCCCTTCTCTTTCACTCAGTCATCCTGTACTTACTTACGTGAGGCTCTGACTGTCCTGGGCTAGGTATTGCAGGAGAGTGTATTGATGGGGGCCCGCCCTCTGATGAGGGAGCCAGGCAACGCGGAAGCTCCGAATCTGTCACTGTAATAGTCTCCATCAGCCTTTTCCTACGCAATTTCTTGTCTTGTTTCAAAACTGAGAAGGCTGTCTGTTACGTTGTCTGTGATTTAATTCTTTTTTTTTTTTTTTTTTTTTTTTTTTTTTTTTGGGGGCCTCTCTCTGTTGTGGCCTCTCCCGTTGCGGAGCACAGGCTCCGGACGCGCAGCCTCAGCGGCCATGGCTCACAGGCCCAGCCGCTCCGCGGCATGTGGGATCTTCCCCGACTGGGGCACGAACCCGTGTCCCCTGCATCAGCAGGCGGACTCTCAACCACTGCACCACCAGGGAAGCCCTGTAATTTAATTCTGTAATCCTTGGTCACAGGTTATTTTGAGGGGGTGAGTATATGTGTTTTTCCTCACAGACTGCTTTTCCTGGAACATTTTTCTCCACCTTCAGGGCTCTGAAGAGCAGTCAACCGAATCAAATGAAGAGTTATTTCCTGAGCACCAAGATGAAATACAACATGTAGTCATTAATCTGAACTGAAAGTTAACCCTAACATAAGAGGGCTAGAAGTCACAGTTTTGCATGAGATGTGACTGGGGGAGTGTCTTCATAGGCCAAGACGGAGCCAGTCGCTGGGTGTTCGTGGGAGCTGCATTTGGAGTGAAGGGAGGGGCTGGCTTGGGGTGGGCAGAGGCAGCCTTCCTGAGGAGGGTAGGGTCGACGTTAGCACTTGCACGTTGGGCATCTGTGCCAGAGTGGGAGGATCCGGCCTACGTGCGAAGGCATGAGCAAAGGGGCAGAGACGGTGATGATTTTTTCAGGAACAGCGAAGGAGCCAGCTTTGTTGAAAATGGGCTTTCGGGGAGGGATAAATTGGGAGATTGGGATTGACATATACACACTACTGTATATAAAATAGATAACTAATAAGGACCTACTGTAGAGCACAGGGAACTCTACTCAATACTCTGTAATGGCCTATATGGGAAAAGAACCTAAAAGAGTGGATAGATGTAGATCTATGTGTGTAGCTGACTCACTTTGCTGTACAGCAGAAACTAACACAACATGGTAAGTCAACTATACTCCAATAAAAAAAAATTTTTTTTTAAGAGAAAAAAGAAAAAGAAAATGGGCTTTCAGATTGGAGATAAAGACAGACAAAATGGAGGCAAGATCTGACCACAGGGGTAGAAGTGTGACCCTCATCCTGTGTGATGGAGACAGGCCCGGGCGTGAATGTGGGTGTGGAAGCAGTGGACGAGAGTGTTTGTGGGAGGGGCGATGGGAGGCCAGCCTGAGTCCACTGTGGTCCCTGAAGAGTGAGACAGGGCTGTGGATTCCGAAAGTGGGGTCTTCAGTTCACAGTTACATTGTCAAGGTAGGATCTCCAGGGCTAAGGAGTAAAGAAGGGAGAAGAGCTAAGGATGCCTCAGGCTCTTTGGGGGGGGGTGGGGTATACTGAACAGAAATAAGTCAGGTTTTATTTTTTACGTTGTTATGATGATAGCATCCTGCTACGTAACACAGAAGATACAGACTGTGATACAGAACTCAGCATCAGCCCCGGGGAGATACAAAGTAAATTCTAGGAGATGGTAACTCTCGAAGGAGATAATAGAGAAAGGTAAGAGGTTCTAAGGCTGAGCTCTCTCCAGTATTTCTCCTCCAGAAGCTGTGGGGCTGAGAGCTGCCGTGAGCTCGCCTGTTGCTCCAGGGCCCTTCCTACAGGACATGTAGTGGGAAGAGCATAGCCTATGGAGTCAGTCACTCTGGATCTGAATCTGGAGACAGCTGTGACTCTTAGACACAATGTGGGTGTAAGTGCCTGGCTCATGGGAGGCACACATGCAGTGGTAGTTCCGCAGAGTGAGGTGAGCCTTCGAGGAACAAGGGAGGAAGAAGAGCCCCCAGGCAGGGACACGGAGGCGCAGGCCAGCTGGTGCTGTTTCAGAGCTGAGGACGGTGTGCAGTCGGTGGACCCAGCCCTGCGGAGAAGGGCCGGGGAGTGAGGACCAACAAGCTCGGAGTTCGTTTAACTTAGTGTCCTTTTCAGTAAAATATAAGATGTATGTTACGATTTCAAGGGAACGAGATTCCAATTGAGTTAAGCCTTAATGTGAGTCTCACCTTGTTCCACATAGAGAATATGTTGATTGGAGCTTTTATACCTAATGTACTGTTCTCTTCGGACAAGAAAGGACAATGAAATAGCGTTGGAACTATGGGCCGAAACAACAGTGGATTTCAGTGAGTTTTAAAGTACTGCATCCCTATTTCCAGATGGCTAGTTTCTTTTAATCCCGGACTTGGTAAATTAAAATGCCTCTCATTTTCGAAAATAAGCCTAAAACTAAGATTGTAAGGAGTTGAAAACAGCCCTTCGTCCCAATAGAATATATTGGATGTCTAATTGGTAGAGGTTGAATCTTTTTGTTTGTTTTAATTAGTATTTGGGGAAAGAAATATTCCAGAGGTCTTCTAAAGAATTACCGTATTTAAAGAATTATTGAAATCTGTATTAGGGTTCTCCAGAGAAACAGAACCAACAAAATGTATATGTATAGAGAGATTTATCTTAAGGAATTGGCTCATGTGATTGTGGAGACTGACAAGTCCAAAATCTGTGGGGCAGACCCGCAGGCTGGGACCCAGGAGAGCTGCAGTTCATGTCCACAGGCCGCCTGCTGGCCGATTCCTTCTCCCCCCGCCCCCAGGGAGGTCAGTCTTTGTTCTCCTAAGGCCTTCAACTGATTAGACGAGGCCCACCCACATGTGGAGGGTAATCCAGTGTACTTAGTCTACTGATTTAAATGTTCATCTCATCTAAGTTCATCTCATCTAAAAAAATGCCTTCACAGAAATGTCTAGAATAATGTGTGAACAAGTTTCTGGGCACTGTGGCCCAGCCAAGTTGACACATAAAATTAACCATCACAAGTCCACCGCCTATGGACTTGTGATGGCACCCTTACCCATCTCCTCAAACCATAATTAACCTGCAAGTAAAGGTGATTAACAAGGTCATAATTCTACTAAACATGGTACAGCTATCCCAAGTACAACCAAGAATGCCCTAATGCCTTCCTCAGAAGAGGAGGCAAAGTCCACAGGTGATGTTTACCCTTCTCCTTGAGATCCCATAGTTTAAATACTGTGACGTAAAGTTAACAATACTTAAACACCATGATATAGGGAATTCCCTGGTGGTCCAGTGGTTAGGATTCCACGTTTCCACTGCAGGGGGCCGGGGTTTGATCACTGGTCAGGGAACTAAAATTCCACATGCTACACAGCACAGCCAAAACAAAAAGAAAAAATACTATGATACAAAGTCACTATAACTTATGTTCCATGGTAAGGGGATAAGAAAGGAAAGAAAAAGATATTTGCTTATGTATAGGTATACACACACACAAACATGTTCATAACAAAATAAGGAGGAATACTCATGACAGGTCCAGTCTTGGGTTCTGTCACTGGTCACGTGGTCATAGCTGGTCTCTACCTTCCTCTGCCGCCTATTCTGTATTCCCTTTGCCTTCAGTTAGCACCTCAGCTGGTCCTGGTTCTTTACCTGGTGGGATGATGCAAACCTTCGTTCCTGAAAGGCCTGGGCCACTACTCGTCCTGCCTGGATTATGTTGTTGCATATTTCCACCCACCTTAATTTCAGGGACGGTGGTACTAAGAGATGCCCTAAGTGACCTCCTGTGTCCCAGACACACTGTCCTCGGCTCCCTGTGGAGCACAGTCCAGTTTCCCCTCGGCATTCAGGGTCACTCAACCACAGCCAGCACCAGAGCTCACCGTGCCTGTTGGTACAGAGGCAGGAGCCCTAACTTCAGTTCAGCCGGATCAGTGCGATTGAAGTTCAACTTCTAAGAATGCATTTGAGTGGGGGCATATTGATCCTCAAATGCACCTACTCTGCAGTTAATTCACCTGTGATGAGGTGAAATAGAGCATCAAGCAGAGAGAGCGTGCAGGGATCATCTCCCTTCCAGTTAGGGAGATAAGATTCCCTAATGCCGTGTTCCTGAATCTTGAGCCAGGTGTGGATTCCTTTTCAGGAAAAAAAAAGAAGAAAGAAAGAAAATGCTAGCGGAAGTGCTAAGAGCTGACGTAAAGCATTTTTATATTAATTACTTAGGTATGTACAGACATTACACATGAAACCTTTATGCTTTATTTTGTATAAAAGCTAAACTCATTTACATATAAAGTACAAGCAAAACCACAAAAATAAACTTCAAATTAACAGCAAGTGAAAGTAACAGATGGATTTTGCCAGTCATAACTTGCTACTCTAACGGGCCTAGGGCTGGTGTCACTCAGCTTCCCTGAGGTGCTGGTGCCTGCGATGGCCCTGCTCGCTGGCCACTCGCTTCCGTCCAGATGGCTGTGGAACCTTCGCTCCGTCACAGCTCTCTCTGCGCTCCCTCACTTAAGTGTCACACACACTTCTGTGCTTTTCTCATTAGCCTGTGACAAAGCTGTACACTTTTTTGAACATTCTTTGTCATGTACTTTCATGGTGTTAAAGTCTCAGGTTAGTAAATGATTTAGTCTTAATGACACGAAAGTGTTCCACTTGTAAATTATCACTGCAAAAGAGAAGTTGTACTTTTCAACCAGCAAAATCAAAATGAGTACACTGACAGATGTGGGACAATTACAGATGAACGATGTCATGTTGCCATTGAGACATGCCAGTCAGGGGGGCTAGACATGTTAATGAACCCACTAAAATAAGAACTTGATGTTACTGCAGGTGATGGGGCCAAGAGGAATCACCGAACAAAGTAGAGCACTAAAACTGTATGTTAATACTTACTTGCTAAAGGCCATCCAGATAATTCTGAATTTACCTGTGTTCATTGTTTTTTAAATTATCAAGTTAAAGTTTCTGTGAAGAACTCAGTCTCCCGAGAATGCATCTAAGTTCTCTCCAAGGTCTCAGGTCCCAGTTGGAGCAACACTAATGTGCTGGGGAAAATACTAACCCTTGAAGACCTGGTACGAGCTACTGAATGCATGTGAGAACAGGCACATCGCTTAACCTCTGGCCGTCGAATTCTGGGTTTACGGCTGACTTCGGGCCGTGTTTGCTGCCCTTCAGGGTCCGTGCTCTTCCTTCCTCAGTCCCGACTTGGACTTTGAGTGTGCAGAATTCTGTGTTGGGCTTATACTTCAATCCATAGCCTCAGAAAGTAGGGTCCTGGCCAGAAGAGGCCATGTGACGGCGGGCTCCCCAGGAGACTGCTGACTGTAAAGGCCCTGCTTCTCTTTCATTACAGATTCTGAATCCCAGCACAGCCATGAAGTGATGCCTCTCCTCTACCCCCTCTTTGTCTACCTCCACCTCAACCTGGTCCAGAGCAGTCCCAAGAGCACGGTGGAAAGCTTTTACAGCCGCTTCCATGGAATGTTTCTGCAGAATGCCAGCCAGAAGGACGTCATCGAGCAGCTGCAGACCACCCAGACCATCCAGGACATCCTGTCTAACTTCCGGCTGCGGGCCTTCCTGGACAACAAGTACGTGGTCCGCCTGCAGGAAGACAGCTACAACTACCTTCTCCGCTACCTCCAGAGTGACAATAACACCGCGCTGTGCAGAGTCCTCACCTGGCACATCCACCTGGATGTGCAGCCCGCCAAGAGGACGGACTACCAGCTCTACGCCAGCGGCGGCCCCTCCCGGGGCGAGGGCGGCGGCCTGGAGCCTGCCGATGTGCCCGCGCCCATCCTGCAGAACGAGGCCGCGCTGGAGGTCCTGCAGGAGAGCATTAAGCGTGTCAAGGACGGCCCCCCCTCTCTCACCACCATCTGCTTCTACGCCTTCTACAACACGGAGCAGCTGCTGAACACGGCGGAGGTCTCCCCGGACAGCAAGCTGCTCGCCGCTGGCTTTGACAACTCCTGTATAAAACTGTGGAGTCTGCGCTCCAAGAAGTTAAAATCCGAACCGCATCAAGTAGACGTGTCCCGCATCCACTTGGCTTGTGATATCTTGGAGAAGGAGGTAGGAATATCGGTCTTTCTTCCCTGCGTCTGCCTTACTAATCAGCTTGGAATATTCCTACCAGACGTGACAGATCTTACGGCAAACGCACTTCCTTATTTCCCGCATCGTATAGCTAACGCCAGACTCATGCCTCGTAACCTGTAGCCAGTGACTCCCTGCTAATGCCCAGCCTTGGCGGAGACAATAAGCAATTAGACGTAGGATCACTGGGTCAGAGGGTCTGCGTCTTAAAGTGTGATACTGCCGCCTCCCAGTGCCATGAGCAGTAGACGAGGACACTGGTTTCTCTCCACCCTCGCCCACCCTGGCTGCTCTCGGCCTTTCGAGGGCAGTGCAAGTCCTCTGGCTTCACCCAGGGTGCCGCCATTTTGTCCAGCAGTCGGTGTGATGAGCTGGTTCACTCTGTTTGCGGGTGGTAGTTGAAAAGGGCAGGCACAGTGGCCTGAGTTTCAGGTCACCGAGAGCCATTGCCTCAGAAAAAGCGTGGGCAAAGGGAGATAGAAATTGAACTTCACAGAGTTCACCTTCCCTGAGAGTGGCGCCATGGAAGTTGTGGGTAGGATAGCGCTGTCGTATCACCACTGAAATTCAGGTAGCTCGGCCTCAAGTTACTTTGGATGGAAAACCTTTGCACCAGGTTGAAAAGTTAATGAGTAAAAAAAAAAAATCACTCGAGTTAATTTCCACTTACTGATGAGGGTAGCAAGAATATTGGGTGTACAAATTAAGCCCCTTTTCTACCTATTCCTGTTTTCTTAGTCACCTTCCAGTTAGTATGGCCTTTGAGTCTTTGCTTCTTGCAGTTAAGACAGTATAATTAGAGGATGAGTTGTTAGGATGAGTTAGGATGTTGTTAGGATGAGTAAAGAGTCTAAATTCCGATGCACAAACTTTGATTCCTAGAATTCTGTAGTGCCCTGAGGATGTTTTTCAATGCATGAGTTTATCTTCCTTGGAGACACAGCTCTAGCTTCTTGGGGGTTCTTCACATACAGTGAGGGATACTGCCCTCATTTACTCTCAGTTTTTTACTTAAAAAAATTATTCCTACCGACCTTATTAGCTTTGATGATACTGAGTTTGGGGATTATTCTAGGCATTAAAAAATAATATAAAGGAAGATAGCAAAGGTAGAAAGATAGATGCAAAGATGGAAAGAACGTTAGCCTAAAATAAAAATTTTTAAGATTCCACCGTGGCTACCGCTGCATTTTGTAACATGTGAATTACATCTTATTTTTTAAAAAAAACCAAAACAGTAACCAAAAGCTCCTGTGTAAGCATAAAATTATCCCAAATGCAACTGGATTTACAGCCCTGCCCTCCAGCTTCTGTTGTCTCCACGTGAAGAGAAGCTAGATTAGCCTCGGAAATGTGTTCGCTGGGCCCGCAGTGCTCCTGTCACCCGGTGCCAGCAGCCTTGGAATGGGGAGCGGGCCTGCCCTCCCTCCCCCACTTTGCTGCACACCGGATGGAGGTAGCTTGTCGATTGGCAGCTGTGTGTTTTTAATATTTGCACAGCATGGCAAAACCACAGGTCCCCAGTGGAGGACTTGCCCTTCTTTCCAGTTATGTGGACAGGACAGGACCACCCTCATCACCACCAGCCTCCCCGCCCTCAGCCCAGCAGTGCAGCACCTGTGTTCAGTTCATTTAATGTCTGGTCATTCTGCCCCCAATCTGGTCGTCTTTAGGTTTGAAAAATCAAGTCAGTGTTGTCAATAATACTCAGTTCTGTAACTTGTGTATAAAACTGTCATTTAGATCTGGCCAATAGGAATATAATGTGAGCCATATATGTAACTTAAATCGTCCTAGTAGTCACATTACAAAAGTAAAAAGAAGTAGTCAAAATTAATTTTAGTAATGTATTTTCAATCCAATATGGCCAAAATATTGTCATTTCTACACATAAGCAGTATTTTTTAAATGTTAATGAAGTCTGTTATATTCTCCCTTTTTGTCCTAAGCCTTAGAAATCCGTTGTGTATTTACACGTAGAGCACACGTCCATTCACACTAGCCAGCAGCCACCTTTTCTCTCCTAGGTCAGGCTGCTGTCATCTCTCACACACATAGCAGTGTCTCACTTGCTTCCAAGTCTCACTCTCCCAAGCCCAGCCATATTTAATTTCTTTCAGCTCCATCGGTAGCTAATTGGAGAACAGCCCCGGGCTGACTTTCAGACCCCAAAGTACCCTGATCTAGGAATGACCATACTGTGAGCTGGGCCACTTGGAACGTCCTAGCCCAGAAGCAGACAGAGGGACTCCGTGGCCTAAAGCAGGGTCAGCAGACTATAGTATTTGAAGATGTTATTTTTCTTATTCTTTGAAAATTTCTAGTTTAAGCATGTCTCATCATGTACATAATATAGTTTATTATTACATGAAAGTACTTTACAAATTAGAAATTCCTATTTGGGATGCATCTGGGGTGGAATTTACTGTGAGGGTTTAGACAGTGGCAGGGCATTTGCGGTGCTGTTCTGTTAGCATGGGAGGCTCCGTGAGGCCAGGCACGTGTGACCCACTGCCTGTTCAGGGTTTCAGCTTGACTGTGCTGAGGCCCTAATGGGGATGGGTTGAGCCACAGAAAAAAATGTGGCCGGACTATTTGAAGCTGCGGTCCTGGCAGGGAGCTGATAGGGATAGCCAGCAGGCCCATTCCGGCTTCCCCATTTCTTGGTTTGTAGAGTCAACCAGGCACTTTTCCACAGGCTCAGGACAATGGTTGGGCCCCTGGGGAGTCCAGCTTGACTCCGGTGTGTCCTCCTCTCTGCCTGTGAGCACACAGAGGGGAGACCCACTTCCATGACTGCCTGGTCCAAATGAAGACCTCTTAAGCCTCGGAGACTACTGTGTGCCCTTGTCGGCCGCTAGCTTTCAGAGGCCCTCTGTGTAACTCACCCAGGGTCGTTTCTTGCCCCCGCAGCTCTGACACAAACTCTCCGGTGCAGAGCAGTAACTTTAAAGTGTTGTTGTAATCTCTTCGGAAAGGAAAATTACTAATATTCTTGGTAACGCTCAGTAGAACCTTAAGCTCTCAAACGCTTAAGTGCTTTTAATGTTGAGTATCTGGAAGAGCCATTTTGAATCTTCATGGACATCAGTGTTTATTTTCTCTTAACTTTTCTCCAATACATAAACATTGGAGGCATTCATTCCATTTTGAATTTAATAGTTTTCAGATTAAAAGGATGCCCTTTTTCTGTCCAAAGGCTCACGAGGCAAGCCGGTTCAAGAAGCTTCATCCTACCTCCTGCTTTTCCAGTGAGGTCACTTGACTTTATGAATTCCAGGGTGAGGACGGCTGCAGTTTTAAGGAGCTTGTCCGCGAGAGAATGAATGGAGAGTGGGTTTGAACACAGAGAGTGTGCTTGTGGGGAAGAGGATGAGGAGAGGGGCCCCCCCACACCACGAGCCGTCCTTTCTGTCGCCACACCTAGGGATTCATTTCCAAGACTCACATGAGTCACTTGGCTTTATTTAGAGCAATTCTGACTCCACGCCTCATTTGTTACTTTGGGAAAATATTTGAGACCCTCCAGAGAGTCACGGTTTCAAAACTCTTCTTTCCTTTTGGACACCAGCCGTTCATGCCTGGTCACAGGGTGTGAGCATAACTTACTGATGGCTGCACCTTCCTGGCCTACTGTTGTTTCTGCGGTATGTCCAGGTTTTATTTTTGGCTGAACTCCCGCAGCGGTTCTGTATAAAAATCTTGAAACCGCGCCTGCCTCCATCACTGGCCCCAGGCGTGGCAGTAACAGGCATGTGGGGATTTTTCTAAACGGACTGGAGACAGGGAGCAGCATGGCCTACAAAGCAGCTGAGACTGACGGGCGAAGACATGCCAGTAGAAGAGCATCTAAGGACATAAGTTCAAAAGTACGTCTTTTCGAGTGATCGGCTCTTGAAATTGGTTCTCCTCAACCTAAGAGTAAGGTCCACAGTCATCACTCTGCACTAGTAGCCTTGCTGTAGTCTTAGCTGCGAGGTGAATTTAAGGAAGGCAATTTGTAAGTGGTAGGAGACTTTTTATTCAGTTATGCAATTAAGAGTTCTTCTCCTGGAGTCACCGTAAAGAGCAGGGTCGTTCACTGAGTATATGCTGTTTCCCAAGCAGGTCTGTTTCTAGACGTTTGTTTTCCCTGACAGACCACTAAACGCTCTTCTCTTGTGTGTGTGTGTGTGTGTGTGTGTGTGTGTGTGTGTGTGTGTGTGCATGCGTGCGTGCGTCCCCGCAGGACGACGAGGACGATAACGCAGGCACGGAGATGAAGGTCCTGCGGGGACACTGCGGGCCAGTGTACAGCACCAGGTTCCTTGCGGACAGCTCAGGGCTGCTCTCCTGCTCTGAGGACATGTCCATCAGGTACTGGGACCTCGGCAGCTTCACCAACACCGTGCTGTACCAGGGCCACGCCTACCCCGTGTGGGACCTGGACATCAGCCCGCACAGCCTGTACTTCGCCAGTGGGTCCCACGACCGCACGGCCAGGCTGTGGTCGTTTGATCGGACGCACCCGCTACGCATCTACGCCGGGCACCTGGCAGACGTGGACTGCGTCAAGTTCCACCCCAATTCAAACTACTTAGCCACGGGCTCGACCGACAAGACGGTCCGGCTGTGGAGCACCCAGCAGGGGAACTCGGTGAGGCTCTTCACGGGCCACCGCGGCCCCGTGCTCTCTCTGGCCTTTTCCCCCAACGGTAAGTACTTGGCATCGGCGGGTGAGGACCAGCGGCTGAAGCTGTGGGACTTGGCTTCCGGAACCCTCTACAAAGAGCTTCGGGGCCACACGGACAACATCACCAGCCTCACCTTCAGCCCGGACAGCAGCCTGATCGCGTCAGCGTCCATGGACAACTCGGTGCGCATCTGGGACATCAGGAGCGCGCACTGCAGCGCACCCGCTGACGGCTCGTCCAGCGAGCTCGTGGGCGTCTACACCGGCCAGATGAGCAACGTGCTGAGCGTGCAGTTCATGGCCTGCAACCTCCTGCTGGTGACCGGAATCACACAAGAAAATCAGGAACATTGATTTTTATCTTTGATGTAACGGACTGGGGCGTGCAAAGGGCTCCAGACGACAAGTCTTAGGACAGACGTATGGAATCACTGACTGACTGTGAAGGACTCCCCGCGTCCCCACGCATCCCCCCTCGCGCCCCCTCGTCCCGCGGACATCCCGAGCCCGCCACCCTTTGCTCAGCCCCCAAGTGTGGAGGGACGGGGGGAGGAAGGGCGGTGACGGGGAACGGACGTGAGATCAAGAATCACGGAGATCCCGCGGTGTCCCCCTGCCGGCCCCTTCCTGTCTCTGGAGCCAAGATGCCCTCACCTCGCCGGGGCTGCACTTGGCCAGAGGAGGTTTGCTGGGCGCCCTCCCCAGGAGCAGTGCTGCAGGGTCACTGGGTGAAAGGGACTCTATCTGGGTAGAATTCGGGGGCGGGAACTAGGAAAGGGGGCGGGGTCATCCTGGCAAATGTCTTTCCTTTTTCGTGATTACAGAGAACCAGGATTTTTTATTATTATTATAATTATTATTATTAATGAGAAGAGGAAACCTAGCACTGGCAGAGGGGGCCTTCTCTGCTCTCATCTTTCAGGTTTTACTCCTGGCACTGGCTGTGATACTTGGAATTTTGAGGTTCAGGGAATTCAGAGAATTTGGTCGTACAGTGTATTGGGAGAAAGGGAAAATTTCTGGGTGACAGATTGATCACTCCAGCTGACATGTTTCTAGAAGTGGGTGGGTGGATTTGATTGAGAAAGTCTTGGGCTCTTGCAGTGATGGTGGGATAGATTCTTTTCGTGGCTGCACTTCTATTAACAGTTCTCTCCCCTGAAAGGACAGATTGTGGTAAAGAAATGAAAATAATTGGAAGTGAGAAGTCAAAAGATAGAATTAGAAAATGTTGAATTTCCAAATGATTCTGAGGTGTGGCTTTTCCAGCGTCTTTTCCCCCTGAGATCATCCCTCCCACCTCCTGCTTTGCAATAGCAGTTTAATGAACAGTCTGTGAAACAAATCTTAAGTACGAACACACACGTCGAAAACTATGCTCTGAGGATAAAGCAACTTCTAATTTGTGGAAAAAGGATTAAATATTTCTGTTTTCTGAAAAGAGTTATTTTGTATTTTGTTTTTTATTAAAATGTAGTTTCAAAAAACAAAAAGTGTTGGCATCTCTTTTAAACTGAGGACAGGCGGGGGTGTGGGCTGTTCTGGGGACACAGCTCAGCTTTCTGCAAGGTGGCAGCCAGTTACGTAGCCCGGACTCCCCGGGGAGCTGCTCTCCTGTCTCTTGTATTCTGTCCAGCTTGCTTCAAATCATTCCTCTTTGCATTCACGTGGATTATTGATAGCATACAGTACTTTTTATATATCCAAACTTGCCAGTGGCTCGCCAGAGACAACATACATTTTTCTCTCTAGAGTTTTTTGGTGAGATCCTACTTCAGTTTTCTTTAAAGACCCCATTGTAAAATCTCCAAGGGGCATAAGGACGGTGTCATTTAATTAACTCAGACCATTTATTGAACCATTCCAGATAAAGGACTCATTCAAAGATTTAAATGATGCAAGAATTTTTTAAATGTACTTTAAAACATAATTTTCTGGCAAGGACACCAAGATGTATCACGAAATTAAATGGGAAGACTAGAATTCTAGGGCAAAAAAAATTTTTTACTTGAGCCTAAGATCCTAATTAACAGGAAATGTTTCTTATTCATAAAAATCCATATATTTGAGATATTGTAAGAAAGAATATTTGGCGGCATACCCAGGCAGCATCACCTTTCACGTGGTCTGCTGGTAGAGCCTAGAATTCAAGCACGTTCTCATCCGTAATAAGTGAGCTCTTAAGTTGGATTGTGTGGTATATTGCTAGAAACAATGAAATGCCTAAATTGGGCTGAATCTTTCTCAGAAGTGAAAGGACCACCGATTTTCGGTTTCATTTTTGTGTTTTAATGCAGAACTTCTCTAATTAAACACAGAAGTGCATTAGGTTGGTCGGCCATCACACTACCAATCACATATACACTTTGTGATTTCAGTTCAGGCTCTCAGTGATCTGCATAGTTGGCCTTTTGTGAACTAATCTTAATGTGGGATACAGTTAAATTACCCCACACTACTTCCCCCAAATCTTAGAAATATTATAAGGGTGTGTATGTGTCCTTATGTCCACAACGGTGCATGAGAACATGGTCACACTCTTCAGGTCGCTTTCTTGTACTGCTTTATTTTATCTTCAGAGCAATCCTGTGAGGCAGACAGGACTAGAGATATTACCATTTTGTAGGTGAAATACCTAAAATACCCAGAAAAGCTGTAGTATCTGTACCCAGCACGGAATAGTCAACATGTCTCAAGTGTGTTATGTAGACGATCTATGTTCCAAACCCTCAAGTTCTAGCTAGAGGGTATAGTCCTGAAGATAGAAGAACTTATTTTTTAAAAACTCTCCAAAAAGGAAATAGTATAAATAAGTTATTTAACAAGCATATGTATATAGCGCTTACTCTCTACCAGAAACTGCTCCAAGGGTTTTATGAAAAGTAACTTATCTCCATAACAACGCTGTGGGTTAAGTGCTGTTTTTAATCCCCATTTTACAGGCGAGGAATCTGAGGCACTGATGGATTAAGTCACTTGCCAAGCGTCATCAATTACAGCTAGTAACTGATGAAGCCAGAGTTTGAAGTGGGCAGCCTGGCTCAGGGTCCATGCTTCATCCATGCTGTTGTCTCCCTTCATTCCCACAGAACCAGGTAAAGAGTGACCTGAGGTCTCTAGTAACAGTGTTCCTGGCAGTAGTTACAAGACTCATGCTTCCCTTTGCCAGATAAATCGGTAGAAACAGCAGGATCAGGAACTGCTAGTAAGAAAAAACTTAATATATAGCTAAAAGAAACCGCAGAATATTCACTTATTTTGAAGCACAATGGTAAATCTCTGCAATGTGTTTAAGGTGGGGGACGGGGGAACAGCTGAAATTTCTTTGACAGGCTCAGAAAATCTGACTGTAATTTAGCAATATAGACTAGCCAAAAGAGAGAAAATTAGGATAAAGGAAAGTAATGTAAGACATAAAACAGGAACCAATTTAAAGCTTTTATGTTCAAGATCCAGCTTCTAAGGATATCCATGATTCCTAGTTTTTCATTTTATTCCCGTATTTAAAATGTCTTGGTTGTATTAAAAAAAAAAAAAAAGACCTGTTGCATATGTAGGCTTCTGGTTTTGCTGTCGCCCAGATTGGTATTAAGTACATGGGTTAAAAGATTAGTCTGTACTTCAACTTGTCTTTCAGTTGCATGTTTTAGAGAAGTGTCCATTATATCTATGCCCGGCCCACACCAAAACTTCATATTATTGTCACCTGCATAGTAGCCAAGTGACTCAAACTGCTTTGCGGGGAGCAGAAACTCTTCACTGAGGAGCTTAAGGAATGCAAATGTTCCCTGTCAATTTCACACGTTGAAGGACACTTAAATACTCTCCTATGATTGACTGAAATTCAAAAACAATTTTTTAATGTAAATATGCGAGTGTCTGTTACAATCAGATATCATGTTAGTGGGTGGAAATACAGTGGTAAGCAAAACTGACACAGTCCCTGGCTTGACTTTAGAGAGGGAGGCAGATATTGATCAAATGATGCCATAAGTACATACATATATGATTTCAGTCTGTAGCGCGTGCTGTACTGGCTGCGGTGGAAGAAGAAACCCAGGGATCCGGAGAAGTAGTAATTAAGCCGAGGCCTGTAGGATAGGTGAGAGTTATCCAGGCAGAGTCAGGAGAGAACTGGGCACACTCAGGGAAGTCCAATGGGGCAGGTAAGGAATGCCATGGCGTGACATGAGCTTGGGTAACTGGCATGGCGTCAGGCACCAACAGGAGTTTGGGATGGAAGCCACTGAAGGGTGTAGAACAGGGAAAGGATGCAGCCCGGTTTCCACCTTAATATTGCTGGCAACAGGAAGGCATACAGACACATGTTTACAACTGGAACTCACTTCAACGTCAGGATAACTAGGCATCGATTACTGAACCCAGGCTGTCAAGCACTGCGGGGCACAGCTGAGTGGTGGAAGCCAGCTGCCCTGCCGAGTGGCCCCCCGGGCAGTGAACTGAGAGCAGCCTCCAACCCAGAACCGGTGAGGACCTAATTCTGCCAAAGGCCACGCGGCTGAGCTTGGGTGCAGATCCTGCCTGGCTGAGCCTCAGATAAGACCGCTCCTGACCAACCTGGAAGCAGAGGCATTCAGTAAGTGCCCAGATCCCCAGCTCACACTGGGGTGAAAGAATTACTGATTTAAAAAGAAATCACTGGCAGCTGGAAGGAACACAGAGTGGGGGCAGGGTGGTGGGCAGTTAGGGTCATTGCAGTTGTGCAGGGGAGAGAGGCGGGCGGCGTGGGCCAGAGTGGCTACAGTGGGCAAGGAGAGAAGGGGACAAATCCAGTGAGTATTTCAGAGCTGAATTCGGCTGGACTTTGTCCTGGGTTGGATGGGAGAAAAGAAGAAAGGAATAATGGATGACCACAATGTTTCTGGCAAGAGCGATTTCATAGCTGGTGTTGCCACTTACTGTGATGAAAATACTAGAGGAAGAGGAGGTTGGGGAAGAGATAAAGAGTTCACTTTTGGGCCTCTTAAGTTTGAGGTGATTATGAGAGAACCAAGTGAAGACGTCAGACGCCTTTAGAGAGGGACAGACGCCTGGCGCTCAGGAGACATCGGGCCTCGACCTGCTAATTCGGGAGTTGTCTTCATTACAGTGCTTTCTGCCACGTGGGACAGAAATAGGACTCCAAGTGGCTTTAAAAATAACGAATCTTATTGGTTCACATAACAAAGTCTAAAGGTTAGGTGTGTCTCCTGTGCAGAGCGCTACCAACAGCAACGAGGGCCAGATATTCATGTCCAGTGGGAATGTGACCTTACTTTCCATTCCATGCTCTTAAGAACAAGGAAAAAAATTTCTGGAAGCACCAACAAACCTCTCCGATTTGGATTAGGCCTGCTAATCACTGAATCAGTCCCTGACAGGGCAAGAATCCTTGGCATATAGTTGGAATTGGAAACCTTGCAAATAGATGAGATGACCAAGGATAACCAGGAGATCGGGGTTAGGGCTACGTCTTCATGTTCCCTGACATTTAAAGGTCAGGAAGGAGTTACAGCCAACAAAGGAAGAAAAACAGGAGAGGGTGCCGTTCCAGAAGCCTAGGGGAGAAAATACTTCAAAATCGGTAATGGTCAGCTGTGCTACTGAGAATTCACAAAAGATAAGGATTCAAACTTATCCATTAGATATGGTGGGGAGGGGTGGTGGGGACTCACAATCTGAGCACTAGAAGTTATGGTTGAGTAATGAGCATTGAAAGACCGTTGAAACTGATTGAAAGGAGGAAAGGTAATAGGAAACAAATATGAAACTGTGAAGGTGACACACACAGCAAGGGAGGAAGGAGAGATTTGGTACAACCCTGCTAAGACAACTTGCAATCGACAGGGAAAAAAAAAAAATTAGACCCATAACTCACTATGCATGAAAATCAACTCCAAGTAAAATAAAGCCTAAATGTGAAAGGCAGAAATCTAAAGCATTTAAAAGAATATCCTCATGACCTAGAAATAGGAAGAAATTTCTAAAGACACAAAAGGCCCTCAATAAAAAAAAGAGAAGATTGATTAAATTCAAAAACATCCATTCATCAAAAGAACCAAAAAAGAAAAAGTGAACGGGCTATATAAATAGAAGGACGGACTAGTAACATGTGATGGACATAGACAAACATCTGGAACCGCACTGGACAGTAGAATCAGCTGTGAGGAGGGGAATGTTCTCTAGTTGAGTCCTGTAGAACGTTCTCTCCTGTGGAACGTTCCTTGAGGAGGGGAATCTTCTCAGGTTCTGTCCTGTGAACGTTCTGTAAGTAGGAGAATATTCTCTGGTTCTGTCCTGTGTAATGTTCTGTGAGGAGGCGAATGTTCTCTGGTTCTGTTTGTGGAACGTTCCTTGAGGAGGGGAATATTATCTAGTCCTGTCCTGTGAACGTTCTGAGACGAGGGGAATGTTCTCAGGTTCTGTCCTGTGGAACGTTCT